CTTGAGAAAGAACCCATTGATTTGGATTTTATTTATGTCCAAGTATTTTTACAGCTGCCTTCTACATGCACATATGTTCCCATGCCTATTAATAAGAGACCAGTGCTTAAGTTTATGAAGCAACATGGATCATGTCCTAGCGATGGGATGGTTGGACAGGACAGGCTTGTGGAGGAATGAGTGATACAGGCAGGGGCAGAGCTCAGGCACCACTCCCAGTCCTTGGTCTGGCCCAGTCTCTCCCCCATGACACCAGGTTTATAATCAACAAAATTATGCAGAGTCTTCCAGGGAATTAATTGTTCTCCAGCGAAGACATCTTGTAATCAGTAATATTCAAATGGTTTGTTTCTGTAGGCATTTTATCTGCTGCAGTGCTGACTGTTTAGCTTTGGCAAGATTTTATTGATTAAAACTTTATAGCGAATGTGTTCACAGCTATGTCTGCATATGAGAGCAACTGCTTTGAAAACGTTTCCCTAAAGCCATGCTGGTTTCAGGTCCCATTACCAAGCAAAGCGGTTCCTCTTGTTCAGTGACTTACATAATCCCAGAAGGCATCTGGAGCGTGTTTGTGTTAAGTCAACTACGAATGCAGACGTACAGAAAAGACATGTTATTTACAGAGAGCCGAGTTACGCTATTTGCATCTGCCTGATTTATTTTTTAAATTACTTTCTTGCGTGTGAAATATAAATGCCCGCAGTAAAGAAAGCAATACCTAGGGAGGCTTGTGTTCAGCAAATAAATATTAAATATGTTGGGGTTCCTTTTTTTTTTTCCTTTTAGATCCATTTCAATTCCTTGCTAAGAGTGAACCTGCAAAGGAACAGACAGCTCAACCAGCTCTAGCCCGGAAACCCACTGTGATCCGAATCCCAGCTAAACCCGGGAAAAGTAAGTCCTTCTTCCAACTTGTCTGAGAAATCTCTGTCAGAAAATAATTTTAAGTGGGACTTAAAATTTACTAACTGTCTTGCTCTTTACTCGCTGTATTAGCTGCCGAAGGAATCCCATGGTACAGTTTGACAAGACAGAGGAGCCAACCTCGGTGGTGGGAGGGAGAAATAGCTGGGAGTCATGTTCCCTTCTCCCTCCCTTGTGCTAAGTTTGATGTCCCTAATGCATCTCAGAGGTGAAACAGTGTATGGGGGGAATCTAAAGGCTGACGAGGAAGAGCTGGGGGAGACCCTTTCAGCAGAAAGAAGCTTGTTTTGTCATCTAAACCGTATCAGTGAGCTGTACCTTTGATCAAATTGACTTCTGACAGTGAAGCCTATCAGCAGAGCATATTTTAATGCAGCTCCTGAGCAGGGCCCCCACTTGTCAAAGGAACAACATTAGTATATTAAACTTTGCTTCAAATGCAGCTTAGTTGGGATGTAAGCATAGTTTTCACAGCTTACATCAGTAAGTTCCCTTGGCCCTTGTTAGATTTGAAATCCGTGGCCATTTAAGCAATAGTGTTTTGGTAGCAGTTGCAGGAATAAAAAAGGCATGCAAGAGCATGGATGCCAGAACTTGATGTGTTGAATTTTTTGTCAAGGTCTTGACTGTATTTTCTGATAATCACCATATCCCTGATGCCTTCCACCTCTAATCCTTTACAGCTCTATGAATGACACTGACAGTATCTCAGAGTGGAAATTTATCAGAGAGCCACAAGGTCTTTGTGTTGATCTTTATATGCTGGAGTACACACTTGCTTCTGTTTAGCCTTATGTTTTATCCTCAAAGCTTAGGGAGAAATATCACAAGATAGCTCTTAAAACTCGTATTTCAAAATCATGTTTTACGACACTGAGTAGGTATAGAGATGTCCAGGTAGCTTTTCTCCTAAGGCTTTCTCTTATTATTTCCTGAGTGCTAAAATACTACTTTTCTTTGCATATGAGAGAAATGTAGTGAAAATTATTAAAAATGCAGAGGAGACTGAAGATAAAGCTACGAGGAGAAGTCTTTCTGTTAGTACCTGATCATCAATAAAAGTTCTTTTCAGTTGGAAGAAGGTAAAGGTGCTGCTGCTCAGGTAAAGAGCCTGAGACATAGTTCTTCCCCACGAAGGAAATTTTAATTTTCATTTAAAACCAACCAAACCAAACCAAACCAAACCACCCTGACAATTTTTTTTCTTTTTCTTCTTCTTCCTGAGCTGGATTCTCTTTTGAACTTGCAGATAACTGGTCCCTTGCTGCTCTCTAGTGGTAATTGAACTTTCCACAGGAGGCTGCCGCTCATACTGTACTTAGCTACAGTTGTCAGGGGAGTGTGAAGGGCTGCTTTATGGGAGGCTGTGGCTGGAAGATTAATGGGATATGGAGGAACAGGAGCAGGTTCCAAGAAAGCAGAGAGGCCTTTTATCAGATAGGAACTGCTGCAGAGATGTAAACTGTTAAAAAAAATGAGAAAATACAACTGGGCCAAGGTATAACATGGATTTAAGTAGGATTTACCTTGTAAAAGGGCCACGTAATCTCAGTGCAAGGGGTCTTTCACCATCATGGGTGTGGAAGGAGATTAATTCTGTCAGGAACCAGCATAAGCCAAAAAGAAAAAACCCAATAAACCGAAAAACCCCACAAACCCTACCCAGCACTACCAAACAGGGGACAGACCTTGATGCTTAAGGATCTGAACTCCAATAAAGCACTCATTTAGCATTAGCATTTTTGTCAAGCTGTGATTAGAAAGGAAGCATTAAACTTCCACTTCAGTTATTACACTTAGAAATCACTGAAAATAACACCTGCCTTCTAGTCTGGGGTTTGTTTGGTTTTTTTCTTCCTTTAGTTCCTTTAATTTTGGTCTTAAAAGGAGTAAAGGCAAGGAAATTAGGCCATCTGTGTATATATCAAGATCTGAAGTGGTTTGAATAAATAAATCTCCGGTGCTTTTTATATACCAGTAAGGTATGATAAGAGAATATTTATCTTGCCATTACTGTCAGGTATTGTTTTTACTTTTCATCCCTCACAGTAGCTTAGAAGAGTGATAACTCTTCACTGACTTCTTTTCCCTGTGCTCGGTCACTACCACCACAGTAACTGTGACCTGCTTCTAGGAATAAGGGATTTATCCTTTAACTGATCCATTTTTAAACACCACACCAGTGTTTTAGATCACAGTAATGCAACTGAAGTGTTAAAAACAAACAACACTTCTACTTCCTATGTGTTTTTTCTTTGTTGAGAGTACTTTTCATAAAATGAGCAACTGAAAGTTTTCATTTGGGTAGAATCTCTCCTCTTTTTTGTCATCAATGTCCAGGCTGTCTACACATATTTTTACATAACTCCAAGACTGGCTGGAAGTCAGAAGAGCTGAAATGTCTGAAATTCTTTGTATGAAATTAATTTTCTTGGTATACAAATACATTGTAAAACAGATGGCAAGGTTCCAATATACAAAGACAACATTATTGGTAAATATGCTGGCAAAACCTGTCCAAGTGCTTCGCAGGTTTCCATGGCAGAGACGTTGAAAGCAAATACCATGTAATTAGCAGATTTTTATGTTCTTTATTGAGACTGAGGACATCGTCACCCTTCCCTAGTAAGAGCTGGACTGTTTCCTCTGCCATGTCCTAAATTTGCTTAGCTCCTTAAAGACTACCAGGGAGCTTCCATTTCTGTTTTCTTTCTGTCACCCTGAATTGTGTAGCAGGCACCAGTTCCTTTTCTTGCCTTTACCTTTCTGGAGATTCTTCCATGCAAGTCTCCTGATCTTTCAGGGTTACTTGAAATAACCCTCAGCTGTTTTCCAGCCTGAAGGATATTCCAGGACCTGACAGCTGAAAAAAGTGAGCCAGTTTAGAAATGTGGCTGAGGGATGGTGATGGTGTTTCAGGGTATCCAGTAATGAGTCTGACATTCCCAGGAGTAGAAACTCTTCTGCTCATCTAATATTAAATCAACAAGTATTGCAGCTGAAACCCTGAAACCCTAGAATAACGTGCTAGTGTCCCAAGAGTAAACTGAAAATCCATTATGCAGGATGGGAGTTATTCCTGAAGTCAACCTCAGAGTTGCAATGTTCCCTTCACATCCCTTGTTTCTTGGCTAGTCTTTAAGTTGTCCTGCCCGTTGGCTGCTCTGGCTTTGAGGAAGGAAGTTGTGTTCACAAAAATATGCCCCAAACCAAGGTGGATTCCCTTACCTGTTGTTCATCCATCTAAAAAGGTTATTAATTAGACTTTCATTTGGGAACTTTTGGGTTTTTTTACAGCTTTAAATGAAATCCCACATAGCCCTCCGCCGCTTAAAAAAAAAAAAGCCTATTGGGAACACCTCCGATATCACAGTGGGGAAACCCAACAGCGCTGACCCAGTAAAAAAAGTGGTAAGTTAGACCTGTTTTCCCGTATTACAGCTTTGTCTGATTTGCTTAACAGATCTCTCGTGACTCTCAAGCATTTGTAAAGTACATTATTTGAAGGACCAAAGGATGAAAAGGACTACTCAAAAATATAAGGCTTTTTTCTTTTTAATTGCGTCCTCCAATTTAATTAGGTAATTTAGACTGCTGTCAGTTCTGAAAAGCTCTTTGTTGATTTTACTAAACTTTGATCACGTCTATCTCCAATTTTCTGTATTTAGCCGCTGGAGTCAGAATATTCTGCAATTTAGTTTCAAAAAGCACTGCAAAGTGGTTCAAAGTCCAATGAGATTTGCATAGTGAAATACTGTCAAAGTCCTTCAGAAATGTATTTTTTTACCTCCATACACACAATATGGCAGCATCTGTGCTAATTTCCAGGCAGAGAAAACTTTTCTGTAGATGAATTAAGCTTCCTTTCTTCAGTTCTTTCCTTCTAACTGTTTTCTGCTGGTCCTGTCAGAGCCTGAGTAGAGCCATCTGTTTTGGAAAGCAAGGCTTTGCTCCTCGCTCCTGAGCACGTAGTAACAGCAGACATTGTTGCTGTGTATCCTATATGCGCTTTGACACAGATTTAGAAAAGGGAATTAAAGTAGAAAATGACAGTAGAATTTCCAGATATTCAGTGCTGTGATGGCAAGAGTGGCAGAGAATCTTGTGGAAGCCACAGGCAGTAAAAAGATCAAAACAAATGAAACCAAATCAAAAGCCCTCACTAGATGGACAGCTGCCAACAGATGTCTTTGTGGCTACCTCTGCTAATAGATGAAGGGTTTTTAAATGTCATGATTGAAGAGGCTATTCGCTAAGGTCCCATCTTTTCTGGATAATGCTGAGAAAAATAATTTCCAGTACAAGACATAAAATAACATTTTATACAATGCACCTCCTAAACTTTTCCAATGTCATCCAGGATATTGTGACAGGCATGTGTAAGCTTCAGAGGACTTTTTTTAAGGAAAAAGACTGCATCACATCCACTGAAACATTTAAATATTTTCTTTGGAAAGATAAGAACTTGTGTGCTTCTAAAACCAGTATTATTTGTTGGTGGAAGTGGTTAACCAGCAACAGTAAAAATTCTTGACTGTAAGCAGCAGTTGGCACAGATTTCTTCAGTTTTTGGCATGAAGATAACATCCCCATCTGAAAGTGGCAGGTTGTTTTCTTTCTGGTCAGGATCATTTAATCAGGAACATTCATCTGAGGACGTAATCAAGGGTCAAAATTTTGTTACAAAGTACATGTAAGTGTTTTCTATGTGGGAAAAAGCACAGAAGTTGTTTACAAGCTCATGTAACACGTATCCCTTATTAAGGAAACAAGACTGGTCAGACCTATTTAAAATGGCTGGTTCAAAAAGGATACTGTTGAACCCAGATTCAGCACTTCGATTTACCACGCTGTTCCACACGCAGCTGTGTTGTTCGGCAGAGCTGGCAGCGCTTCCTGGCACTGAGATGAAAACGGACAGCAGGAGGCAGAAGGGATGGTAACTTGTTAATCCTTTGCTGTGGTCTAAGCCCTTCAGACATGGCACATGTTCCGCTCTGCTGCAGAGTAGTGCTCTCTGGCAGGGTCAGGATGGGCAGCTGGGAGGAGTGATGCCTCGATCTGCCATAGCAAGGTTCACCAGGGTTTATCTGTTAGAACTCGAGGAAACATACTTAGAGGCCTTCTTCAGTGAGAGCTGATGTTATTTGCAAGAGATGCTGTCCTGTGTGAGTTGCATCACTGGCATATTTTCTGCTCTAAGCCTGTTCAAAGTGTTTCATCAAAGTTAAATCAAAATTGATAATGTAACTGCAGCAGTTGGAATCCTACAGGCAGTGAAATTGCACATTTGTATGACTCTCCTGAATTTGGCTCTTAAGCTCTGACTGCCGTGTAGTAGGAAAAGAGGTCTGGGTCATACCTATTGCACAATTTAAGCTGTAATTCATGTAGTCAACCAGGTTATTTACATCTACCTCTATGTCCAGCAAGACTTTAAAATGCTAGAACACACCATAATACTTACTACTTTATTCCTAGACCTCCAGAAACTCTTGTTTTTCTTGTTTGTAGGATATAATTTAATATAAGAAATGCATAATTTAAAGAAGACCGTCTCTTTTTCTGAGGCTTAAAGAAATTGTTTTTTCTTTTGAATCCTTGTAGGAGTTGGATCATTCAGAACAGGGTGGAGCGCCTCAGCAAGAACCTGTACTACCCCCAAGGTAAGTACAGGTCTTCAAAAACTGAGTCAGTTTGCCTAGTTAGTCTCAATGTTGACGCTACCAGCTCTAGTCCTAACTCAATGGGTGTGGAGAGGTAGTATGCTCACTAATAAATAGGCAGGACCAAGTTGCTGGCTGATTAATACTTGTTTATCCATTATCAGTATGAGCAAGGAGATTAGAAGAGGACAGCTGTTTGGCTCTTCAGCTAATGTACAGTGGCTGCTGACAGTCATTCCTTTCTGCATCTTTAACCTTTTCACCCACAGCTGAACATAGAACATCCCCTCCTGCGTGTTGCTGACCTTTTGATCAGCAGCACTTGCACTTGTGGCTGGCTTTGAGTGGTGAAGGAATGGAGGTGGCAGATGCTGCCACCCTGAAAAGGGCCAGCACCTTCCCAGAAACACTGACTAGTTTATACGATCCACTGCAGACCTGAAGCACTGACTAGCTTATACAATCCACTGCAGACTTAAAATGCCCGTGAAGGTGCAGAATCAACCTTGGGTTTTTTATTCTTTTGAACCAAGAAATAAGGTCTACAAAGGCAAAAGAAGCTGGACCAGCCTTAAAGTCAGGTCCACTGAATGCCAGAGACAAACTGGAAGGAGAATAAGGCATTGGCTAGCTAGGTCAGCGCAGCTATCTCAGCATCTGTGAGAACAAGAGAATCTTTCCATTATTAAACTTAATCTACCAATAATAATAATGAGTATTCATTAACAGGAAAGAAGGTGGTTGTACCCACAAGGAAACACGTCATTATTGCCCCTTATGGGCTTGTTACTTTCCCCCATTCTGTTTAGCATAGCAGCATTTGTGATTCTCCTGAGGCTCTCTGGATCTGCAGTAAATGTTTTGTCCTTTCACTCTTCTGCTCAAATGGATTATTTTTTTGAAGTAATTGTTTGTCACGGTTTTCTTGTTTAGTCGAGTTCTCTACAAGTGTATGGGTGGATTATTTCCAGACTAATGCAGTCTAACTTAGAATTTCCCCTTTTGTCAATGTTAAAAATAATCAGTTTAGAATGAGGCCAAGAAAGAGGAGAGGTGGAAGTTGAACAGAAGTGGAAATTTTTTTGAAATTTAAAAAAATAATCCATATTCAAATAGTAATAGAGAACTCCTATCAGGAGCATTAGTAGAGCACTAATATCTTCTCAAGTGGTGGATGACACTCACAAAATATGCCAGAAGGATACTCCAAAGATCCACTAATGAACATTTGTTGTGGTTGATAATTTTTACAGCCCCTTGAGGAAGTCACGCAAGCAAATAATTATGCTGAATTACTCTGTATGGAAAAGAGAGAGAGTTGTAGCAGAAAATTGCAGGAACTGACTGAAGGTGTCCCAGTAACAATCAAATAATACTGTATTTTTTGAAATAGTGGTAGTGCGAGGGTTCTTAATAACAGGAAGACAAAGTTTGATGTACGCAATGCTTGTTTATAACAGAGGTGATTTTTAATTAGCAAATTATTGATCTGGCCACACATATGATTCAATCATGGCTCGTGTGTACAATATAGGCAGCTCTTTTTTAAATCAATGCTTAGTAAGGGGGATTTTCTAAAGTCTTTTTTTTTTTTTAATTACCACTGTCAGTCTCTGATTTTGGTTTCTAAACTACTGGTACCCTAATGAGAGTGTGGTACCTTCAGCATTGCCAGAAAACTTGAGTATTTTCACCGATACTTCCTTTCTGCAGTAGACATCTGTTGCATAAAAATGTTAAAATCCGCTATTAATGCCATTGTGCAAAGTGGTGTCATTTGTCTTGAGTATCAGCAGAGACCCAAAAGTCCCTTTGGGTAAGTGACATCCCAGGGAATGAGCTAGGCTGATTCCTGAAGACCAGCTAGGTCAGCAGAACTTCTCAGGGTTTTCACTAAAGCTCTTCACTAGGAGAACTCCATCCTGAGGCAGCTTCAGACAAAGCTCTTTCTAAAGGTGGATTGCTGAAAGTCGTCCTGCTTATTTATGTACTGGGCTCCTGAGAAAGCTGGCAGGCTGTTGGTAAGGAAAAGTGGTGAGCAGAGGTGGAAATGTGTCACCAAAAGATCTGTCTAAGGACTTGATCATCCAGTCTCAGCGTCTGGAGAGTTCATGTATTCCCTGAGAACTTCAGGTAGTGCACGCTGCAGCCCAGGTCAGCATAAGTCACGTTTCCTTATAGCAGCTCTGTAGCTAGGGCTGTGGTGGAGGATGAGGTGGCAGGCTTATTAATATGTGTATTTCTCCAATGGTTTGCCCAATTTTTAGGCCTGTGGATGGAAAAATTATACCTGCTCGACCTCCCCCACCTAAAGGTGTTCCTGGAAGGCCACCTCCACCAAAACTCTCTGCAGCCAAGACCTCCTCCCAGAAGGATGCTCTGTCACGATCTACTTCTGACATCGCTCCTGATAAAAAACCCAGCAAGTTCAGGTTGGGACCCAAGAGGGCAAAAAGTCAAGTCTTTAAAAATCCAGATCCAGCGTTACCTCCTAGACCTAAACCAGGTCATCCTCTCTACAATAAATACATGGTGAGAGTTGAGATATTCTATCTGAGACTGTTGCTTATAAAACGAAGCTGGTTAAAAGGGTAGTGAAAAAGGTAGCATGGTAGGTATGATGTGGCATTCAAAGTGCATCTGTCAGCATAATCCTCCATAGAAAATACTAATAGATAAATAGTAATAAGCACTGTAAGGTAATAGTGGAGAAAGCAATATATACAGGCAAAGTATAGACACGTGTGTGTGTATTTTTGTGTATATATGCAATTTTTATATATACTTTTAATGCATAGCTTTTGGTTTTTCAGAGTTCTTTTTACAGTCACCAGTTCTGAATTGTACTACAGCATGTAAAATGATGGTAAATAAGTGCATTTGTATGTTGTTTTTCCATATATATATACCAAAATTGTTAAGAAAATTGGAGAAGCATTAGAACTTAAAAAGTAGATTATCCGCTTAGTCAAGCCTATACAGAGGTGGGCAATGTGACATCACTTATCTTGCATTTTCATCTTATTGATGCCATCCCCTTTTCATTATAAAAATCTTTATTGTTAGTATTGCATGTGATGTTAGGGAATATTAAATATAAATGGATCAACATTACAGATAAAAAGGGGAGAGTCTTTCCCCAGATACTTGAAACTGGTCAATGATCAGAGCTGGTGACTGCTTGAATCAGTGCTGTTGTCAAAAAAACACCCACACAACTGTAGCATGAACAACATCAACAGCATCACGATTCAGCATGAAGTGCAAGCTTTCTGTTGCCTTCTTTTTGATCTTCACTCTTGCATTTAGATCCTTGGTAGAGCAGAGGAGCAAGAAAGAAAAATGTATCTATGTTGATAGTAGGAACAGCTTTGAGATGAGGGAAGCATGTTGAGGGAAGCATGTTGCTTCCTCTCTGGTGCAGCCACACCTGTTTACATAAGAAACGTGGCGTTTCTTTAGATGGTATTTTTTTTTCAGTAGCAGATCTGCCCTCAAGTGTTACTGTCAATGAAATTTTCCTGCCGGGTTGTTTTTCCAGTGCCCTCCATGACAAATGAGTACATTTCTGGTCAGTGGTGCTGAACATCACGTGCCATGCTAGTAGGTGGCTTGAATAGTTCTACCGTCTGAGTCACATTTTCACTTCTGGTGGGAATTTCAGGGGCTTAGAAGTAAAACAAACCTTTTCGTTTGCCTCTGTTTCTATTCAAGCTGCCTGTGCCTCATGGAGCTGCCAAGGAAGAGTGTCCTCCCAGGAACAGCGGAGAACTGCCCTGTAAGGTAAGGCATTTGTTCTGTTGATAAATATTTAATGAGGAAGACTCCGATTGCATGTAAGTGACAAGTGCTTTAGGCTTTAAAGGTTACACTGAGAAACGTAATAGTGCTTTATTAAATCCTTGTGTTTCTTTAATAAAAACAAACCCAGCAAAACAAAACCCAGTAATGGTGATTTGCCTTGTAGCACAGGGACATCCTGCTTATGGAGTAGAGCAACAGCAATTACTTGGAGTGCCAGAAGGGAGAGGAAAGTGGTGAAGTTCCTCTGTCTCATAGGAAGATAATCACTCCCTCAGCTGAGTATCTGAAAAGTGGGCAAAAGATAAGCGAGCAGCTTTATGAAGTGCTGTACATGATACGTCAGTGAATTTGCTTTGACAATACGGACTTCAAAGTATTCTCTTCCCTCTGCTTCTACAGAACTTAACCTGTTTTTGGGGCATGACTGTAGTAATACTGAATTGCTACTATAAATTATAGCTATAAGCAGCCTTTTTGATTATTATCAGAAAGCTGCATGGCTGAAATAGATTCCTATGCAATCTGTTGTTACCAGTTGTAATTCATATTATTCTGGCCTTATCTTTGACCATGTTGGGCTTTTTTGGTTGTTTTTTTTTTTGGTACACAATTAATTACTTTGAATGTAATGCACGCACAATGGTTGTCATCAGTACAGTCTAAAAATTCCTAGTGGGTGGGATAGAGAAGAAAGCTCAGCATTTTGAATGTAAGTTCCCTCTATAAAGATCCCACAACAAAATTTGTCATTTCCACTCAGCGTTATCTTCCTGCAAGCAAAGGCCTAGTGGCTTGCTCCAGATTCCTGACCCGCAGAGATAGCTGAGGCTTTGTCCCTCCTGGGAAAAGTTACTTGTCTTCTCTTATTTTACTGGCTCAAAAGTAAATTTTGGTGAAATGCATTCTGGTTTACACTGGAGAAAGGCGTACAGAATTCAGACCCAGAGCTGTGTGACCAATACTAACCACTGCCTACAAAGGTGATTCTCTGATACCCAAACAATACTGTGTCCAAAGTCAGACAATTACTTTCAGAGTATGTAACAGAGAAACTCTGTTAGTATCTTCTGTGATTTATAAACTGCTTGGATTTATTTGTTGTTGTCAGGATTCAAACCACCCTCCAAAAGTTTCTGACACAAGTGCACCTCATGCTGTAGTCCTGCATGATTTTCCTGCAGGTAAGTGAATATTCTGGAAGCTTGTTTTACTCCAAGACTTTCAAATGGGAATTTTCTTAGGAATTAGAGCTTTAAAATGATCAGGAAGCTCAGCCTGCAAGTTCTGCATGTAGAGTTGTTCAGATGCATGGGTTTGGCTACAGTTGGGCCAGTCTTTTAGTTGAAGCTAACTGGTTTATCAAGTATAATCGAGACTTTTTGAAAACTCATTCTGGTTTTGCCTGTGGTATTTATATTAAGAAAGTTTTACTTTGAGAAAATCGGTGAGTGTGGCAACTACCATTAACTGAACTTACGCTGTCTTACAGAGCATGCTGATGACTTGGACCTTCATTCTGGAGACACCGTTTATCTTCTGGAGAAAATCGATACTGAGTGGTACAGAGGAAGATGTGGGAATCGCACAGGGATATTTCCTGCCAGCTTTGTTAAAGTAGTTGTACGTAGGCTGGTTCTGTTTTACTACAGCTCCTGTGTGTTTTACTCCATTCTGTATTTAGATAATCTCTTTTCCCTCTGGCAGCACAGCAGACCTATCAACTTGTTTGTATAGTATTAGAAAGATGCTTGATTTGGCACGACCAACTTGTGTTACGGGGATTATTTTGCTGTTACGTTGAAGCCAAGTGAGAAAATCATGGCCCTTACCAGATTCTCCTTGTTAACGTGGGTGGTTTCTCAGGGTCTACAAAGCAGATGATTTTTCACAGCTGCATGTGACCAACACTTGGTAAGATGATTGCTTTTTGTGCCTCCTCCCAACCCCCAGCATCTCTCATTTTCTTGTCCCTTGAACTGTGCTGGAGTCACCACTTTTATAGCCATGTGGTGAACTCGGTCAGGGCAGCAGTTGGGCCCAATGAAACACGGGCGTTTTTTTCTTCCTAGAATTTTTTTTTCCAGCTGAATCAGTTTGCTTAAGTGGCTCACTAAGTGGCTGCACAAATGGTTGTGCTGGCACAGTGCAAGGAAATTGTGTTGTTGCAAATGAGCAGCTTAAAGCAATCCTGTTACTGAACGTGACACTTGACAGTTAATGGCAGGCAAGAGACAGGTGCTGTTTTGGAACCCAATAGCAATTAATTGAGTGCCTCATCTTTAAAAGAGATACAGGATGGTTCACTGGGTCAAAAGCTGGGTCAAATCTCTTGCAAGCCTGAGTCTGAGATGGAAGTCCATTTTGTGGCCGTAGTAAGGGCTGTTAGGCCATCCACAGCAGCCATATGGACATGAGGGATGCTAAACTGACACTGGGATGCAGTGAAGGTGTACAGCTGGGTGCTAAAGACACTAAAAGTCTGTGTTGAGCCAGAGCACCTGGCAGAGATGAGCACTGCTACTGCATGGACAATACCAAGTACTTGGTAACCATCGGAGAGTCTCTGGTTAGTTTGTTTGGTATTAGTGGGGAAAATCTCAAGATCTGAGAAGTGCTGAAGAATAAAAACTGGACTCAGGGCTAGTAATAGTGAAACCATGCTTGTGTCATTGTCATGAGAATGGTTTGTTAGCTCAATTGATTAGCTGCTTCTACACAGACCAACAATTTAATTCAAAAGCTTAGTACTAATGGCTAATAGAAGATTTTTATGTTAAAGCAGTGGAATGAATGTTTGGAGTCAAATTCAGCATTGATACAGACAGATACAACTTCATAAAAGCTAGGGAAGATGTGTTTCAGATTTTTATTTTAGTTGTAAAAGGTGGTTACCATTTGGGTGCAAAAATGTTTTGTTTCAACAAAACTAAAAAAAGAAAAGGGAAAGGAGTGCAGTGCTTCAGACTGATTTACTGAGTGAGTTCTGCTGTTCATTCTTGTCAGAGCTGATCTCGATACAAGGTCTCTGCAATATTCTATACAGTAGCTGTTTCACAGTGTTGAGCTGGGTGGTAGCTATACGTGGTTATTACTTGCCATAGAACCTTCAGAGCACCACAGATACCAGCTCCTCGAGCAAGAGCACCATAAAGATTATTTGTCCTAAAAGGCAGCATGATTTCCTCTAGTCCTTCACATAAGCTAATGAAACATTCTTGTTGATTTTCATGGGAACTGGTTCATGCAGCAGTGAGCTGTAACCCAAAGCTCATTGCCAGGACCTCTAGGCTTGTAGTCTTATACTTCATCTCACAGATCATCCTTCATGTGACACCAAAAATACAATAAAGGACTTGAATGCTGTCTGTTGGATATATCCATGTATGGATTTTCTAAATTATATTTCTCCAACTCAAGTGAGATTTGAGATGTGTTTTTGTCTGAAGGGCAGCTGGCTACCAAAGCCCAGAAAGGATTCGTGTAAACAATAATTTTGTCTATTGTGATGTATTGTGCTGGTAAATAACAGAGAGCAATTACCAATTGAAAGTTGGAAGCTAAAAGCAACAACATGTAGTAGCATCCAGTCTCATATTCTGTCAGTCAATCATGCCACAAGTAGAAACAGTAAACCAGCTTCATACCAGAAGACATTAAATAGTGCTGCTTGTTTGCATGAGATTGAAAAATGAGAAACTAGGCATGCAACCCAAAATCTACATCAATATGGCCACATATCATAGTATGCCAGCGACTACAGAGCATCACATGGGGGTCATAACTGGAGATGTTGCTTAGCTGAAAAACAGATTATTTTATCCAGTTCCAAGTTTATTACAGTTTATTATGTTTAGAAATTTGTAAAGAGCGAGTGTCAGGAGGAAGGAGCCAGGCTCTTCTCAGTGACAGCCAATGACAGGACAAGGGGCAATGGGAGCAAGCTGGAGCATGGGAGGTTCAACCTGAACATGAGGAAAAACTTCTTTACTGTGAGGGTGACAGAGCATGGCCCAGGCTGCCCAGAGAGGTTGTGGAGTCTCCTTCTCTGGAGACATTCAAAACCCGCCTGGACGTGTTCCTGTGTGACCTGGTCTGGTGATCCTGCTCTGGCAGGGGGGTTGGACTGGATGAGCTTTCGAGGTCCCTTCCAACTCCTAATGTTCTGTGATTCTGTGATCCAGTGACGTTGCCATGAGCTTGAAAAGGAAGATTTTACCTATTTTCTTGTCTTATTAGACTGATGTTCCAGAAGAGGGCAACAGGAAAAAAATACCCTGTTCATCACGATGTGTGAAGTGAGTCACATAAATCTTACTGTCTTTTTCATTTTGATTTACTAGGAAGTAAAAATAAAGATAATGCTGAAGCAGGTGTTATCTGTGCTGAGATTAATATGGTTAGCAGTTTCTTCACCAAAATATATTGTAAAAATTAAGACCTCGAAACTGAAAGCTTATGGTGTTTTAATAAGACTCATTCAGGTTAAAAAAAGCCTAAAAACTCACTTCATGGCTTCAAAAGATTGGTGGATCATTTTATCTTTATAAGAAATGGCTATTGTAGATATAATCCCCTTCATTCACTTTCCTTCCTCTTATGAGCTACATTAGAAGAGCATTTCCTATAATTTTTCATGAAAATTGGTTACAGAAACTGAGAACCAGTCTGATTAACTCAGCAGCATTGCGCTCTCCTCTTTGCTCTTAGCCTTGTTACTTTCTTCCAGCCCCTGCCATTCTGTGATTCTGTGAATTAAAGCCTATTGGCACTTTTTTCCAGCACTGTATTTGTGATCAATAGAAAATTTTCTTAGAGTAATTTCTTAAATTTAATAGTTTATTAAATTATTAAATCTATTCAAGCAAGAATTTTTTTTTCTCAGTATTATACCAAATTATAGAAAAATTATCAGATACATTGATGTTTCTTTCTTTGATCATTTATTTCCTCAAGCCTGGGATAGATTTTACAAAATAAAGCTTGTCAAAGTAGATAAAAACTTGCTTCCCCCTATGAAACATCCGTGTATTTGGGATTTGAAACAAATATATAGCACCCATTCCCCACGCATGTTTGGCTGCATCTAAATTGGATGCTAGCTCCAAAAAAACATCAAACTCTTACCAAGTGTATCAGGACACTTACTTACAAAGTGATATTTTTGATGTTGTTGATCAAAGAGAAATATGATCTTATGCAAAATGTTGTAACAGCCAAGAATTGGGGTGGAGAAGTTGTGTCCAGTTCCTCCAGACTCCTTATTCATCCTCCTCAGAAAGCAGAGAAAGCAGAGATAAGAACAAGGGCTAGGCCCCAATTTTCCGTCTGTTTATCTTCAATGCATACTTTCATCTTTTTAATTAATCAATCCATATTCTGCACAATGCTGCCTTATTAAATGGACAATAATAATAAGCAAGTAAAGTAAGTTTCTTGGTTTTGTTTGTGCAGAGGCCCAAGATGTGTAGCACGATTTGAATATATTGGAGATCAGAGAGATGAGCTCAGTTTTTCAGAAGGTGAAACTATTATCCTGAAAGAATACGTAAACGAAGAGTGGGCCAAGGGAGAGCTCAGAGGCACATCTGGAATTTTCCCCTTGAACTTTGTGGAAGTAATTGAAGATCTGCCTGGAACAGGTATGAATACGCTTGCCAAAATCTCCACGAACATGGTGTTGTACCGCACACACATAGGGAGCATACAGGAGAAAAGTCCAGAAGGACACTGAATGCAGGAAGGAGGTAGAAAGGGAGAAAAGACAGATAAGAAAAATCAAATTAGAACTTAAGTAGTTGTTCTTAATAATCACTTTGAATGTCTAAAATCTTTATCATTAGTAACATTTCGAATAGCCACTGTTGCTATTCTAAGTTGTCCTTTACTTATATAGGTGCAGGAGCAGCACTGAAGAACAAGGTGGAGGTTTCTTCTTCCCTTCCTCAGGTAATAACATTTTATAGGTGAAGGCCGGAATAGCAGTTTCATGGATTTACATGGACTTTCTATTATGATCTCAGCTTTAGCTGCACAACTTTAAACCTGAATGTAACACAGCTCCCCCAGCACACAATGCTGCATGGTCACGTCTTGAATACAACAGTTGGCCTAAACTGATTGAATTCGTAGCTTCTGGCAAATTAACATAAGTACATTTTTATCCTTTGTGCTTAAGCAAATTCTTGCTGGTTCTATTTTAAGTCATTGCTGCAGTGGTCTAATTTTGCATTTATTAATCCTGTCCCCTGCCACCCATGATAAAAAGGAATGCGTCTGAGCCTCGGTGAAATTCTGTGGTAATTGCTGAAATGCCATTCTAGTCTACATCTGCAGTGACACTGTTGTGTGAGAGAAAGTCAGGACACCCGTGTGCTGTACAGCTGCTTTCAGCAGCATCCATCAGCTTATGGGCTCCATTAACACTTCTAAAATTAATGCATTTCTTCTGCTCCCTTGAACAGAACAACAGACGCTCAGTAGAGTGGTGTGAAGCGCTTCATGATTTTACAGCAGAAACCAAAGATGATTTATCCTTTAAAAAGGGAGACTACATCCAAATACTGGAGCAAGTAGATGCAGAGTGGTACAGAGGACGACTGAATGAAAAGGAAGGGATTTTCCCCGTGGTTTTTGTTCAGACCTGCACAGGTACAGTGCTTGCAATTCGTTATTCCTTGGGTTGTGACCATCATGAGAGAGCTCTGGGCGACCCCAACTACTCCATTGCATCAACAAGCCACACACCACCACCTATCATAATGATAAAGTCCTTCATATCCTAAAGCTAAACTAAGCATTGAGCCCCGCTCTCTAATAATGGCAATATAGTGCTCTGGGCAGTAATCTGGGAGGGGATATAGGTTCTGGGGTGGTTTAAAATGTGGTTTGGGCATAGGCAAAGCAGGACCATTGGGCTCCCTTTAGTAGGAGTTCAGGGTTACAAAATATGGAGGGGAGCCAGGTTCACCCTCAGCTGAAGTGAAACACTGCAGTATAGGCAAAGAGGGGTAGTGCTGTACATAACCACAACTGCTGCATCTTGGCACATAACTATCGTAATGCCCTTAGTGAAGCAAGGAGTGAACACTGCTTGCTCTCCTCGAGCTTCTGTTTGGTCCCCAAAACAACACGGTCAGAACCTTCAGAGGACACAGAAAAAATCACATTTTTTCCCCCTATAGTTTTTGCAAGTAAAGCCATAAGTGAAAGTTGACAGGAAATAAATCCCACCTAACTGGCAAACAGCACACACCGAGTGCCGCTTCATCTCCAAGTACAGAGGAAAAGACAGCTTTTATTAGATATTGCCATTGGAAAGTTCAAGTAAGTGAACTTTACATTTAGTCCTCTTAGAAGCAGAACCATGAGAATGTGTTAGTACTGTAAAATGAACTGGTGTCAGTAGAGACTTTTTACTCCATTAGGACAGTGAATTTGCTAAGTAGCAGTAGTAAACAACATCTGGACCCCCTGTAGCACACTAGTGGGGAGAAAACGTGGGAATGACAGGAAAAGAGAATTATTTCACTCTAAGTAACTTCTTGTCTCCACGTTCTGCAGCCAGCGTAGACCTGTCACACTCTCTAGGAGGGAAGAAAGGAAAAGCCAAAGCTCTTTATGATTTTCATGGAGAAAATGAAGATGAGCTTTCCTTCAAAGTGAGTACTTCTCTCTTCTCATTCTCCGAAGGAATGCTAAAAAATAGGTTTTATCCACAGGGAAAATAGGCTTTGAATGGGAAAGAACGAAGCACATAGAATAGACACAGATGTTAACACATTTGATAAATGGCCTCAAAAAATGTTTGCCCTTACCACTTCTGTTTCATATTGACAAAAATCTTCATTGAGGGTCAGGACTTGCAGAATTCCTCTGCCACCTTTGATCCAGTAAACATGGTCAGTTATTGCCAAGGGAGCCTCTTTTTTAACTCGAAAGACAGCAACAAGGAGGAATACGACAGTAAGATTGCTACAGCAGTGATGCTTCTACAGGACACCTAGTACAGCAAAATCTAAACCTTTAGCAGCACAACACAGAATTGCCATGGGAGCAAGGGGACAAATGAAATACTTGCTGGATGCCCAGATAATATTAAGAAGCATGAGCAAGAAACAGCATGCCCCTGTAGATTCAAAGTCATGATTTAGGTAACTGTGTCCTCAAAAGCAAGTTTCCCAGAAACAGCAGACTTTCACAGCAGGCCCCAAATTGTGTTTATCAGCTGGAACACACTTTTCTTTCTAAAGCTAGCAAAATAATTTGTTTCAGCATTAGCAGCTGGCAGTGTTGAAGGGACAGATGACTCTTTAAAGCAGAAAAGGGGACCAGAGGCAGTGGAAGAAAGGCCAGGGCCATGGCAGTACTTCAGATGAAAGGTGGGGCATGGGATGATGAAAATAGGAACAAGGGTCAGATACAGGAGCTGCAGTTTAAGTGGCTGTACTTTGCTGTTTAGATGATTGCTCTCCTTTTTGGGCAAGTTTCTAAAGGAAAGTTTCCAGGTGCTGGAAAATATTGGGACTAAATTGTAAGGAAAAAGAAAAAGCAGCTTTGAAGCGTTTGAAGAAAATAAACCCTCATAACAGAGCAGGGAAACACAAATAACAAGGCAGAGGTCCCATGAGCCGTACCTGCCTACTTAGAGAACTTAGGCAATGCAAGTGGTTGCCCAGCAGTGCTATTTTCCCTTCCATAAGGTGGCAATTTCTCAGCATAGTCAAGTATTTCCCCTAAGGGAAGCTTTAGCTGGTTTTTTTTGGCAAACAATCTCCAAGTGATGCAGCCAGCAGAGGAGACTGGCCCCATCCTACTTCTATTTGATGGATATTAATTGCTTCTGAATAACATCGGCTACGCATGCGTTACCATTGCACTGGCTCACCTTCTTCCTTCTCTTACAGGCTGGCGACACAATAACAGAGCTGGAATCTGTGGACAAGGACTGGATGAGCGGAGAGATGGAAGGAAAGTCTGGGATATTTCCCAGGAACTTTGTTCAGATTTTAAAAACGCCATGAAGTGGTGCCTGTCTTTGTGCTCCCTGCACATGGGAGAGAATGTTTGCTATCCTAAAGGCACAGCAAAGACATCAACGTGTTTTGACTATCAATGTTTTGCACTACTTTTTCTAGACAGCCCTAATAGTATCTTGAAGTCAAATAAGAACATTTTAGTCTTTTTGTGACAGTGTAAGTAGTCATGCTTCATGAATGCTCCGAGAGCAAATACAAGCAGGATTTTTAGCTGTTTCCAACTAGGGAAATACTGTGGTGCAACACCATTTTAACTTAACTTAAATAGCATTCTAGTATGTTTACTATCTGGTATTACATTTATCATGCACAAAGTCTGTATAAAGTAAGCTGCTTTGGGCTTCTTTAAAAACTTTTTCAAATCCAACTGTTTGTAAGATATAATTACACCTCTCAGTATGTAGAAAAATTTGATATTCAGGTTTCATTACTGCTTGACTTCCACATTAGCAGTAGAATCCACTTGTCTTATGACTTAGAGGATAAGGAAGGTAACCGATATTTCATAGTAGAAAAATATCAACTCTAATACTGGTAAGAGGGAACACTCAGAAGCAAATCCTTGTGTAGTATTCTTCTATTCTTAGCCCAAGCCGCTCGTACAGGAAGATCACGAAGTAAAATTTAAGTATTTTGCCTCATAACAATGAATGTTCAAATTTGTATAAATCATCTTAGACCTTCCTCCCTTCCCCAAAATCCTTTCCGTACAGGTTTAGATTTTTCTGCTGCCCACTGTTCCTCGAGCACCATCGCACCCTTCTTTCCCAGCTGCAGTCACTTGTGATGGACAGCGTTTACTGAGCTTTCTCAGATCCCCTCCGTGCCATAGCTGCACTATTCCAAATATTTGCCCCTCCACCCCCTTCGTGTAAGTGGAAAGCCAATCTGCACTCAATCTGCATTTCATTTCTCACTCAAGCAGTGGAACATACTTCAGTAACACTATTCCTACCCTTAACATGAAGGATATGATACAGTCTTGGTTTTAGCTTTCAGCAGACATAGGATTAGGTTCGTTTGTTACCACATACCAACTGTACTGAACATCATTATAAATGGTCCATCAAGGCCTTCAGGAAAATGTGTCTGGCAAGAGGTTACTTCAAGAAGCTCTAACAAAAGTAAAAAGCAGCAGTGTGACTTGAATGACAAACTAAGAACGACATGACTGAAGGAGCTTCACATTATAGGAACTTCTGGTAGTAAATGCCTTCTGACAGAATAGTTAAATGCATCTTGATTAACTGCTAACTTCACAGGCTAGAATAGAAAAAGCGATGCTGCAGTTGGCTCTTTCATTGCTGATGTTTTCTATCACTTCTGTACTGTGAAACAAAAAGGAACCAGTAAGCTGTTAGCATGACACACTACTTCAGAGAGATGCAGGACACCCTGGCAAGACTTTTCTTTGTGAATCCAGAAGTTCAGGCTGCAGAAGAGCCACCAGTTGAGTTGTGATGGAGATGGAAAACGAGAATCACCACGACTGACTGTGAGAGAGTGCTGACTCAGTCACGTGTCTGCTTACAGCTTTATCGATACAAGGTCCAAGTATTACAGCAACAAGTACCTGCTACAAAAGATCCCGGTGCATCTGGTGTTCAAGCAAGCTGGTGAGGATAGCGCTCCCCTCCCTGTGCACTGCACTTCAGTTACCTTCACAGCAGGCAGAGACATGCCAACAAATCTGGTGAACCTTTCAGTGAGCAGGGGGGAACAGCAGAACCAAGCGAAGCCCACACCAACAAACACAACACCCAGACCCTCCAAAGACACGATCACATCGTGGTGGTGGTGGATGAGGCCAAAGTGTTACGTTGTTTACTTACTGTTTGTCTGGCAGTTTTCTAAGATTTTGATACAAGTCTCATATTAGAATTGAATTTTTATATTTTTTTTCAATTTCTTCTTCTTCTCCATTTTTATAACTCTGTATTGATCAGTTGTTTTTGTAACTTCCACTGAATGTTTAAAGTCGGTGCCTGTCACCTCTGCTTTATTTTAATCATCTCCTCCCTATGATGCAGGGCAGGAAGAGCAGCAAAGCCTTCTATTCAGGGCAAGGAGTGCCATCTAAAGGCTGCTTGCATTGCTGCAGGCAGCTAAAACTAAGTGTATTTATTAAAAGTGAGAGAAGTTCAATGGTTGGCCTTTACAGGAAGGGATTTTCTTAGACTTGATGCCTAGTATCACCATGAAACTGCATACATATAACAAAACTCCTAGGGTGTACAGTACACTACCTGCAAAAAAAAAATAAGAATGAGGTGGAGCACAAATCCTAACTGCAATATAGTAGCAAATTTCAGCTGTAACCTTGACATTCAGCTAAAGCCCCGCACGGGAGTGTAACAAAAGCCTCATTTATCAAAGCATTTTCTGTTTGACCCACCCTCTGGAAATATCTTGAGGACGACGTCTTTGTTCTGTGTACAATTAACAGTGTCTTAAATAAATCTTTGTTAAGTCCAGTAAGTTTGTTATGGTACCTCTGTAAATTAAGAATGTATTTAACCAATAAAATTTTTGTAATTAAGTTATGATGGCATTTTCATTGTGTTACGCTGTGGAAAGCTGAGCTTGACCTGAAGCATCTCAATGGCTTTAACTTGCTGTGGCAAGATTAACTGTGACAAAGACATAGGCTGAGCCTCAGCTGCTCAGCAACTCTACACGTACTTTACACATGCTCTGCTGATTGCTGCTATTCATACACTGTCATTTTTCAGCTGATACTTAACAGAGGATGCATAAAATTTTCCTTCCTGCTTACTCTTCCCCCATCTGGTATCATTTTATAAAGCGTATTTACCCAGAGGCCCTCTATGGTGATGCCAGCAGCCTACTGTTGAAAAAATTTGTAAAAATTGGAAAAAAAGCAAGTTCTTGCTCTTTCTGCAAATCCTTTTCGACCAGCCTTTTTTGCAAGATACTGCTCAAGACATACAGCCACTGGAAAAAAAGTAACAGGACAAGACACACGAGTTTTCAGAAGTGAGCTTCAGAAACGGCACCTTAGGACTTCAACTCTCCTGGTCTATAGAGAGCACAGGCCAGTTACAGTCCCCTTAGCATCTGTCTGGTTGAACTAAGAGAAAACACAGCAAACACACATCCTTTACTAGAAAGCTCAGGCTGATCTTAGGCTAATGCAAGGCTTGAATATAGGGGCTTACATACATATATGTATCTCTGTATACATCTGCATTAAAACGTACTGTAGTACATTCAAGGATTTTCAACCTCACCACACTCACCCTAAAAATCAGAGTTGGTTTTCTGTTAAGGGACATGAAGGGGCATTTGTTGCAATTCATGGCTTCAAAAATATGAGTCTGCAGCTCTCAGAGGAGAAAGACACCCACCTCAGCAGTACAGATGAGAAGAGCAAAGCAGATTAAAAGCAGCACTACTCCTTCCTCCCGTTTCAGCACTGTGAAACGTTCAGCACTCACTACCCTTCCACTACACAAACTGGAGAAAGCAGAACAGGTACTAACAACCCAATAGGTACCTGAACACTAAGTCACGGGCTGTTCTAAGTATGATCCCCCACACTGAAATATTAACTTGGAATCACATCATGAAGTCACATCACCTGCAGTCTTCTAAATAAATTAGAAAACATTTTGCTTATTATTATTTGCTCCAAACCAGAATTACCAACTAGGAAAAGGTGAAAATCCCCGACACTGAAGAGCACAGCCCCCACCAGTAGCTCCCCTCTACCTTTCCCCTGTATCATAGCTGCAACATTGCACTGCTCTCCTCTGTTTCTGGTCCTATACCATTTCACAGCTGACTGCAAGAGCAACCACCACCAGTGCCCTCTCCAATCTGTACCGTTTTGTTCTCGGGTTTAAAATCACAGACCTACCAACAGTTTAATAGCACCATGTTTAGGTTTGTTGCCCAATTCTAAAAAGCAAAATAGTGCAAAATTTGCTCCTCACATCAGCTAGAACACTCTTCAAATTTTAAGCTGGCATAAACATAACAAGCAAAAAAATGCTAATCAGATAACGGAAAAAGCACTCTTAACATTACTCAGCAAATCACTTCAGTGTGCTCTATTTTCAAAACAGACCATTGCCCTTTTACAGTAATTTTCCCCCCTGAAGTGCGTTTTTTCACCTGTGACTGCAGTTACCTCAGTTCTGTTAGACATTAAAATTTTAACTACATACAACCCTACTCTGGAGCACATTCTGCATTTCTACACTGCTCAAAACACCGCTTCCATAATCAGAATTACAACCTGAAGAGTTTTTAACACCTTTTGAGTATCAGAGACCAAGTCTATCCTATGAGAGATTGTACCAAATAAATTACCAAGAAGCTTAAACATACACAAGTAATTCTCAAGTGGTGGCCTGGGTAAACCTGAGATTTCCC